ATGTTCACTTGTCAGTGTATTTCTCATCTTTGGGAATAGAAAGTAGCATTCCTGTAATATTTGTCATATACTCATATTGTGTGTATGGGTGTATATCTAAAAAATGAAGAGACTTGACTGTAGACTATAGATAAACTGTGATATGAACTATAAGAGCAAACATGTCAGATAGCATTAACGACAGCCTGCCCGCAGAGGTCACATCATTAAGATGAGAAATAATTTTCCTGTGTGAACTCGAGGTTATTTGAGCCAAATGTCAACATGTGCTTGATAACATGTATGTCATTTAATCAAACATCCACACCGTCACAACATCAGAGCAATTATTGACACGAGATAGTGCTGAGAAAAAGTCAACATGCCGCTGCTAGTGATTTTTACAGCTTTGTCTTTTATTGTTGTAAACGACTTCACAGATCACTACGGGGAAGTACTTTACTCAAGCAGCGTATATATTTGGGCTGTAATCTATGAAATTCTCCAAGTTTGATCCTGGACTGGGTGTCTTATGAACTCATGTTATTGTATGGCCACTAGAATGCAGTCTTTTAGTAATTTAGCCCATGAGCATATGCTTTAAACTTCCCTGTAGAGGTGACTCAGGGATGCAGAACATAAGCTGTAGTGGGGCATATAGAAGGTGTAAGGTGACGGTGGGTCTGGCAGCACCAGGTGCACAGGAATGTGCTGTTGTGTGATGGATCCTGAGTGCCCCACGCTGCCAGGCTATTTATACTGCCCTGTGGGAAAAGAACAGCCCAGCCCAAAGCATCAGAGTGCACGGTTTACAGTGCACACCTACTCACACACAAACATGCCCCTGACACGCACTCGAACATTCAAAAGGCCCGTGCACTTATTGTTATTTCCCAAAGATCTGGTTTAAATAAAATGCACTGGTGAAAGACAATGAAAGCCAAAGCTTTTTTTTTTTTTGTTACTGAAGGTAGCTACTTTTTAGTAACAAAATAAAATGCACTGGTGAAAGACAATGAAAGCCAAAGCTTTTTTTTTTGTTACTGAAGGTAGCTACTTTTTAGTAAAGGGTAAAGGTATCGATACTATTATCCTGTAATAGCCCAGTATATTGATGTTAAAGGCTGTGCTAATGTCAGTTGTCAATGAAATATACTGCCTAGCAACCTTTTGTACTTTAACTGGTCACTGGTCATACTACAATAAATCACTGCAGACTATATGACATTATCTTAACCTACCTCTCATGTATTTTGTATTGTCACGAATGGTATAAATCATTATTTGATTGCAGATAAATTATATCAACAAAAGAACAGAACAAAGTATATTTACTTTAGTACAGACTACCACCTCTAGTACTCAACATTGAAATTTGACCTTGAGAAACACGGTTGGTAGCGTCTTAAACTGCTGCTCTGTGTTTATGTGGTGGGTGCTGGGAGTAATGGTAGAGGACCTGAAGTTAACATCTTGACCCTAAAGTAATCCACCATAGCAAATCTACACAATATGGCACCGGGGACGTTTGCCTTTTCACAGGGTTTCACAGAGGTCAGATCCATTCCCTACAAACTCTCCATCTCTCTCTCTCATACATTATCACATACAGATTCACATGCACATAGAAGCACACATGCACACTGACAGATGCCAAAACATAAACACGCCACAGTACTGACATGCACAGTTAGGACGTCTATCATTCCAATTCTGTCAGGTCCCAGGGGCACTTGGGTCAGAGTCAAGGGTCATGTTTATCACACAGATGGCACAGAACAGACTACGATATGTGGGAAAATCCTCAAATGTACTGGTGAAGTCAAAATTGGACATCTACTGGTCCAGTTGAAGCCCTGATAATTTTATTGACCTGTACAATTTTTGTTGTTAATTATATATACTATTTATTTATAATGTATTTAAATGAATATAACTTTTTATGTGAAAAAGACTTCAAATTAGAAAACATTCAAATGACATTTAACTGAAAATGCTATATCTATTTGTTTGTAACCTTGATCAGAATACACTACATACTACAACACGCCAATGAAATATGTTTCATGATTGTGAATTTACAGATCACATATCATATAAATAAGTAATTTCAAATTTATTTATATATCAAAAAATGAACCTGTTCATGTCACATTAACTGTATTTCATTTTTCAAGTTTGATTTCAGAGCTGGTCTCATACTAGAGAATTTTTTTTTATATTAAACATTGTAGGAAAGTGAATTAAGTATATAAGTGTTGTATGATAATGATGTCAATAATAATAAATAAACATAAAATTATGTTTTGTAATTTTCCTCATGCTTAAATTAGAAACATTAGCCAGGAGCACCTTATATTTGTCTCTGAAAGTTCCCTGTCTGTAAAGTGAGTGTGCTCTATACATCTCGCCGGGTTAATTGTATCATAAATTCACAAGCTGCTAAAAGACAAGCATGGCTGGAATTCACACCTCAGCGCCTCTCTTTCTCACAGTCACAGTCGTGCATTGTGTGTGTCAGACATAGAGCAGCTAATAAATCTGCTATGTTATCTATTTGAAGAGAGATGCATGGGAACCTGACTCATGCCATCAACACTGGTACAATCTTCAAGAATTGTTTTGAGTGTCATGATAGAAAAACTGGTTGTAACAAGTAAGTAACAAGTAATAGTTAGCGTTATTACAATATTACATTTTAAATTAGATTTTGTTTATCAGGTTATCAGTTGTTTTTTTTTCTCTAAAATTCCAAAAAATCCAGGAGAGATATAATTACAGATATTACAAAAGAAATATTCAGTTCATTTAAAATATATATTGCTTATCCCTATGTTTAAGTTACACATTCTTTCAAATGTGTTATATACTTTACACTGTGTTATACTTGTATACTGTTCAAAATAAAATAACTCTAACTCTACTAACTTTAACAATTTTAGTTATTTGTGTACTGTTCTTTGCTTTGTTTTGTTTTCTGTCTTCTTGTATTGCTCCTCCCGTCTCCATACCCACTTGTTGGCATCTCAGAGGAACACACGTGGGTATGATGCGTAAACAGTCAAACAGAGAAGTTCAAGTTTTATTGTCCCTTAAAACAAGTGGTGATAAGACTGTCCTTATTGTGCGGATAGTCCATCCTGACCCCTACCCCCCCACTCCCACAGATAAGCGCCCAGTTCCCAGGATGGTGTGTGTATGGTGCAGGGCAATAACCTGACAGGTCCCACAGACTTCCTCTTTTTGGTCCTCTGTATTTTATGGCCTGCTCCTCTGCAGTACAGCTGCTGTGGGTGAGCGCAGCTTCCCTCTGCTCTGATTGGACAAGACCTTTGCTTGTGGTTGTACTGATGGGTAGAACATCATACTGGTATCACTCCTTGACTTTGATACAAGTAAAATGGATAGAAACAGTATTGGGAACAGTTAGGCTATATAATTTATTTGGGTTTTAATAATTGTATTTTAAGGAAATAAATACTATTTTCAAGCTCTGCAATAATGTACTTTACTTGAGGAAGACTTACAGCCTGCACTCAGACGAAGGGAGACTTGGAAAATTGTGTAAGTTGAGGAAATACTTGGATCCAGACCTTGGAGTTTTTAATACATTTTTGACCAAGGTTTATTTGTTGCCAATGTCTGATGAGTGTAGCAGAATGTATTCAGTGGTTAGATAGGCTTATTTAAAATGGTGTATTTCTTTTTTGAGCAGACACGACCCTTTAACGAGACATCTTCTGTTACCAGGAGAAGCTGAGAAGAATCAATGATCTTGTAAACTTCAGCTCAACAATGGCTTCCTTTGACTGTCTCCTCGTGACGGTGTGAGACGATGGCAGAAACCTCACGTGAGACTAAAGTGACATTGAGAGTCTGAGGTTTAAAGTCACGGTGAAGGTCGTGTCTCTTTTTCCTGTTCCTTTAAGATGGTCTTGTGGTTACGGCTGTGTCTCAACAGGAAACTTAATCAAGGTTAAGACATTTTTGGTGAGACACACATACCACAGATTTTGTCCTTGAAACTCGATAAATGCAAGATGTTATATCCGCTTTTACCTGTCTGGGCATGAGTTGTGTTGATATAGGGCTAAGCATGTGTGTTTACGATGTGTGCTGTATTTCTAACTCCTGATCACACAAAGTATTTTAATCCAATCAGCTTCGTTTTCACATGACGGTCACACACTGCCGCTGCCATGGAAACGGTGCAGGAAGGAGAGAGAGCCTTAAATTACTGTGACAATTACACTTTTGACTGAAGTCTACATGGAGTCTCAAGTTTCTCTTCCCTTTTTATCAATGGAGGCTATATACAAGCATGGAAAATGATTGTTACAGTTTTTTCCATGTTTAAAAACTCTGAACATGTAAACAGTGATGGGAAAATAGGGAAAACGTGTGGATGAAAACTCTTATGAAAAAAGTGTTGGTGATTTAAAATAGTTTAGCTCATTTATAGGCTATGTCAAATTAAAATACTTACTAATGTAACCCTACTGTCTGTCCAAGTTATCCCCACACAAAAAATAATAGAAGAGGTACTGCAAAAAGTTAATAAAATATAAAATGATACGCTCCAATTACAACTTAATAAAGCAAATAATATTTTGTCAGCACAAATCTTTCAGTTTTCATTTTCTATACATATATATTTTTTCCCAAATGGTCAATTAATTTGAGACAATGACCCTTTTACCCCGGATAATCTTATGTAAGTGTAAAGTAGCCTAGTAAAACCAAATATGTTTTCTGTAGACCTACTTCAGAAGGTTAAAAGGTGAACTTTGTCTGGTGGTTTGCAGTTGGCACGCAACTCTGCAGCTTCTCATTTTTGTTTACTGTCATTTCCTGCTATACCTAGACTTTTAAACACTCTCACAACACATACACACATATGAGCAGGACCCAGATCATTTTTTGAGTGTCACGCTACAAAGGGAACGGTGCAATTTTAGATGCAGGGCTCCCTCTGGTGGTTAAAAATAGAAGTATCAATCAATTCCAAGGATTTGGCGAAGTTTGAAGCAAATTACTTTATTATTTGAAAAGAGAAAGAACAAAATGTGTCCTTTACACATCCTTTGCTTTTTACAGTCTTTAAATTGCACTCACACATTTATACAGCTTACAATATAAGTAAACAGAATTGGGTATTTGTTATTTTCAATACCTGCCTTTTCTACAAATTTAATTGAAGGACTGCCTAACGACAGAATAATGTGACCAATAAAGGATTAATTAACAGTATAGGAAAACTGAATCTGGATCAGAGAACACATAAAAACAATCAAAAAATCTTAAATTAGTTGCCTTTAACATTTTTGAGCATGACAAAATCAGTATATATATTTTAAATTATTGAGTCATTCTAATGGTCATTTCTGCTATGTGAGTTATATCAGCACACATATTTAATTGTATGCATGAACCAGCCTTTAGACATATCAGTCATGAAGTCTTCTGACAAGACTGCTGTTGAACTTTGCAGACTTATAAACAAGAAAGGTTTGTACACTTCCATTTCCACCACAGATTACACAGATTAGGAGGAATCCACACGAAACTTCATTCATCTTTGCTTTGCATTTTGTTAAGATTCTGATTTTATGTTCTACCTGTAATAATAAAACTTCATTTGTGTTGAAAGCACACATTTGTTGACAGTCAAAAACAAACTGACTGGATGTTGGTAAAGTCTTATTTAGCGCAGGGATCCTTGTTTTAGTTTGTAAGTGGTGGCTTTTTAGTGTCTACTGATTCTGTGTAGCTCAGTTTGCTTTGATACTCCTTTTCCTCTTCTTGAGTTTCTCTCTCAGAGCCACCAGAAGCGCACATACACAATGAGCATGATGAAAAAGACACCACCAGCAGCAAGCTTGGCGTAAGTAGAGCGGGTGTTTAGATACTTGGCATCACTTCTGTACTTCTTTGACAAGGATGACAAGTTAATGGCCTTGGAGTCCAGAGCTGCAAGAAAAAACAAAAAAACACCAATAGATAATACAGTCCACAACATTTACATAGGGTTAAATAATGGCTATTATGCTAATCTGAATAATGAAGGCAACAATACTGGTTTCTACTCCACCATATTCATATTGGTTCAAGATTAGGCCTGTAAATGTCCTTCACAGGCTGTTATTGGTCTCATTATGAGTTTTATTTTCTGTATAGTGCTGCTCTATGGTTATTTGAGGAACACACAGCAGTGGCATATCACAGAATGGTTCAAAATGTGTTTTGTTATTTTGAGTTTGAAGGAAAAAAAATATTGGTTGATATTATAAAGACTGTCAGCAGATACTGGTAGTGATACTGGAACAGAAAATGCTGGATCAGTGTTCTCTAATGTGAAGGGAAAAAATGTACACACCAGAGAGGGCCTCTCCTCGCTGTAAAACCTCCTCTATGTTAGCAACCATAATTCTCTGAACATCCTGGAGTTCTGTGTTGATGCTTCCCAGATTTCTTCGTGCTCGGCTGTCGATGTAAGACTTTTTGGTTTTCTGGATGTACGAGTCTAAGAAAATATAAGAGGGTATACACAATGGAATGGCAATCTGAAGTTTCGCATAATTGCATTCAATTTTAGTTACATTTTAGGTTATCTTTGTCATTTCATGTTTTATTATAACACATATTATAAGACAGAAAAAGTGCATTATAAGCTGTAACAGGAATGAAATATTAATTTGCTTACCAAATTCAATAAAGGCATAAGGTCTGGACACTGAGTGAACCCTTTTTCCGTGTTGCTCATGAAATTCTGCCTGCAGGTCTTCAAGGTAAGCAAAAGCTAGCTTCTTAGGGAAACTGGCCTCACATAACACCAGGTAACACACACCTTTCTCTATACAATAACTATAAAAATAAATAAATACAATTGTTGTAATAATTTATATATTATAGTTTTTGCCATTTTAACAAATATGAAAACTTACTGGAAAGTGACTGAGCCAGCCTCCAGTGTGCAGCGTGTTGGACTCTGTTCATTGAGTTTCCTGAAGAGCTGCTTGGCCTGACTCTGGTATTGCTGGATGTCCCGACCCAACTAAATAAAACACAAAAACACCTGCTGTTAGATTTAAATTTAATTAAACAAGTGTTTGTATTTGGGGCTGAAAATGACTGTAACAAAAACTCAATACATTACAAATACATAAAAATACCTGGACAGAACAACTGCATTTCCACTGTATGGCCTTGAAATCAACTACAGTGCAGGCAGACAGTCTGTGATGCTACATTGGAAAATGTACATTTTCTGACTGATGTAATAAAATTTGAACTGCAATCTAGCATCACAGATTCATTAATTAGAGCAGAGACACCACAAACCTTTTCACTCCCCTTTATGAAAGCAAATAAGAGAGTAGAGAAAAATATTAGACCATAACAGAACATGCAAGTATAACCATACCAGATCATGTAATTTCATCACCACTAGAGGCTGCTGGGAGTTTTATTATTTTGTTTTATATTGAACTATGACAGACAATGTGTGCCTTTTTCTTTTCGTTTTTCTTCCTACTATGAGACAGGAAAAGCAACAAATCTATAATATTAGCCCAAGCTATATAACTGAATCCACCTTCTGGTCTAACAGTTGTTGTAAAGAATGCTAAAGTAGCAACTACGAAACCTAATATTTATTTCATATAAACAATTACTGCATCAAAGTCTTCATGTAAACAACAAACTTTGTATTATATTAAACTTAATATTGAGTACTAGATGACGAGTGAGGTCCTTAAGGTAAATAAAGGCTGCTCTAAACCAGGTTGGCCTACTGCCTCCTGACCGCCTAAAAGTATAACAGCACCTGGGTTTATTTATGTTCAGTTATGCAATAGGTCCAGATAATGAAACAATATTTACGTGGTTTGAACTGACAAGATTTGGAAATGGCATGGAAGTGAAAGAAAGTAAATTTTTCTGGAGTAGTCACCCAGCTTTGATCAACAGTACACAGCATACAGGGGCCACATAAGCAAAAAGCAGTGAACATTATACCTGCTCGTCCTCCTGCATTGAAGCGGCCAGTGGGAGCCCGTCGGCCAACCGGGCTATCATCGTCAGCAGCACCATGTTGTCTCAAGGTTCGGTTCTGTTCTCCTAACAGACCCACTAAAGCCCAAAGGTATCTGCTACCTTTGCCTGACAGCCTGTAAACTGACAACACCGCAGGCTTACGGCTGACGCGCTGAGCTGGCCGGAAGCGCTATCGTTCTGTGTGTAACTTGTAAACCTTTCCCCTCAAGAACTGTAGTCCCTAATCTAAAGTTCCATGTGTTTGATCTGTTGATGAGTTGTCATTGCTGTGTTGTTATACATGAGTAAAATACAAAATGGAAGTGATGAAACTTTTATATGGAGACTGTGATTAAGTTAGAATGTCAACTAGGTCTTATCTTCATAGAATATAACAATTAAATAGCTGTAAAGAATAATGTCAGAAGTCAAAAATTGTTTACATTATGAATTTTAAATTTTCATTTGTGTCTGTGATTAAGGGAGTACCCATATAGACATGATTGAAGACAATGCTTGTTTATTCATACAAAGAAAAAAAATCTGAAGAGGCAGCATCATGAAGCCTAAAATTAATATTATATCCTTTTTTGGGTCTGAATTTGTCTTTGAAACCGTTGTCTACGAAGGTGATTCTCCCTGTCATTTATACATCCTGGAAAAAAACATACATAGGCCAATTTATTCTCAAACAGTGACACACTTAAAATATAAAAATGTGTCTTACAGCTTTACCCAAATGTGTATTGGCCGTAAAGAATGTACTGCCGTAGGTTTCTAGGTTGAGGTCCTCTCTGTAGACAGGCCCATCATTCCACATAAGATCATACCCCCCCACTCTCTTTTCTTTGCCACTGAGCCTGAGAAAAAAAAAAAATATGGCCACACAAATGAACAATAACTTTTAAAAATGTTTTAAATATGTTCATTTTAAAAACATAATCAGACTGGATTAAAGTGGATGCTTTGAGTAGAAAGGAATAGAAAGAGTGGGAGCAATGTGTTCTACTATAACAATATAATAGTTTTCATTCCAGGACAAGGCACAGCAGTGGGTGTGGCCATTCTCCATTACATGTTGCATGATCAAACCATCAAATAAATCATTAATGATTTTAAACCTAATTAAAACATAATATGCAAAAACAATGCTGATATTGCATACTATGTGATTGTTGGGCAGGGTGCTTTTAAAACAAGCATTATGTATAATGTAAACTGAATATGTGGCATGTATGTACCAAGTATTATGCACTTTTAGACTTTCTCAGCTTGTTGACAAACAAAGATGTTAGTGCTGCTAAATACTCTTGACGTCTTGAGGGCAAAATTAAGAGAATATTCCTCACCTTTTTTCAGCAGTTTAATTAACAGGTTTCATTAAAACTACTTACCTTCCTTCCATATCAACAACATTTAATGTATCTTCCAGAAGATGACACTTCATCTCATAATCCTCTTTGCTGCTGGCTGTGAGAGATGGAGAAGCGTTCACTTCGATTAACCACCTTAAAAAAGTCAAAGACAGAAAAACAGAATTTAGTAATCAACATGACCCATACAAGATTTAAAATGAAGAGCTGTGATACTGACGGCTTGAGGTTCTCATCCAGAAGAATGTCGTATCCATAAAGCTCAAAACAATGTTTATCATTATTGATAACTTTCTGCACACTCTGTAAGCTGCGGACAAAGATGTTATCTATGTCTTTGAAAAGGGTCTCAATCTTCTCTCTGCCATGTTTGGCTGTCAGATATCTGCGAAGCTGCTGTACTTGCCACTTGCATCCCTGAATAGAAAGATAAATTATACTTAAAGCTGAAGGTACAAAGTTAAAAACACAGATACTGCATAAACAACAAGCAATAAATGTAATTTACAGAAAATGAAATCAAGCCATTAGTCAGTTACTCACCTTCTCAGGGTCATAGTCAGGAGCAGTTTTTTGAACAGCTACATTGGTCAGGTGCATATCTAGAATGTTTTTATAAAGGAGAACTGACAAACTTGAAATAAATGAATTTCCTGATATTTTTTTTTGTTGATATCATCTACTGAACTCCCATAAAACATCTCTGTAGGACATGTGCTTTGGTAAAAAGGTAAAAAACATAATCATTATAAATACGGAATCTTTAACCCAGGATACATTTATCATCAATGCTGCTCAGAGAGAAACGAGTATTTGCGAAGCGTGCAAAGCCATCCCTGTAGAGCCAGGCCTTCAAGGGAATGTACTGGAAAACAAAACCAGAACAAGCCTCTGTTTCTAAGTACACTCTGTAGATCAGTATTACAGCTTAAGTATAAAAAAGTGGTACATACTGAGGTGACCAGTACATACACCCTCAGGTCAAATTTTCTTCCTGGTCAAAAACAAAAAGCAATGATTCCAAAGTAAAAAATAAATATAATCATTATTGTAGCATCCAGTCGAACCGAGAAGGCCAGAACTGATGGTTAAATGACTTTTAATCTTTCCTTGCCGTGTCATAGAACCAACGTAAGAGCTTGTTCCCCTGTCGAATGTAGCTATCTTTACTTTGTTTTATATAACTTTTCTCCGTTGTTTTGATTTTCACTATTAACGTTGCCGTGTTTACTGTGCGTCGTTTCTTTATAACGTTTTTTCCTTCACTTCCGTTCACACCGGAAGTTATCAAAATAAAAGCGCAACCTTACAATTAAATGCCATAAACCGCGTGTTAATGTATATAAGAGCTAACTTGACCTTTACAATTATATTACATTTGAACTCACCATTTATAAGATATGGGTTCTCTATATAGCGCTGTGCAACATAGCTCTCAACTTGAGCTGCATCCTCTGAGCGATTGCCATCCTATTCAGATTCAGTTAAAAACATAAGAAACATAAAATATAGAATGGTTTTGTGACTAGGAATTTCAGCTTTACCTTCTTCCAGTCTGTGACGTCTTTTAATTTCTTAAACAAAAAAATACCTTTCCCTTGAGACTTTGCAACCTGAAAGAAGAAGTCCTTCTTCATATTGTCAATCTATTAGTGCAAGTCGTTATGAAAATGTTAGCTTGTTTACTTACTGGTTTCATGATCCAGGTGCTGCCAGGGCTTCTTTTAAACTCCTCTACAAAAAGATGATATTCACTGGGAAGTGTGAAAGTACATGGAAAAAAATCACATTTGGATGCCTCCACGGGGCCTTCCTCTTTTTCAGTGCCTTTTCGATACCTCTTAAGATTTTTCACCATGAGGTTTTTGCGAGTCAGCTGTGAAACAAAACCTTATCATTTGTAAAGGCTGATGATTAGGTTTTTATCACTGAAAACCTCTCACCTCATAATAGTTGCGGAAATGGTTTATTCTTACATGCTTCTCCATGTAAGAATGATCAAAGTTTTCTCTTAGCCAGCCCACATCGCACCAGTTAAAATCCCACTCTCCATCACTAGTTGTTAAAGCTCACCATTAAGATGAATAAAATTAATAGTATTTTATTTTAGAATTTTATTACACCACTTACTCTTTGACTTCTACCCATCCTGGTCTCTGCCTCAAGACGTCCTGTATGGTGTCGTTCATCAGGCCACATTTGTAGTACACAGGTATTCGTCTTTCTCTAGATTCAGAATGAAAAATAGTACATATTACTTGGCTAAGCAGTAATTTACCCCACACAATATTACACATCAACACTCACTGCTCCTTTTTGTCACAGTCATATGAGCCTTTGTTTCCAGATACCTAAGCAGACAAAGGTCCAAATGAGAAAGGCTATGTTAGGAGGACTGCACAATAATCAAAATAAAAAAATAAAAAATATTGTCACAGTTATCAAATCACAAAAACTATAATTGTTGTAATGTGTTCTCAGTAATGAAACGCATTCGATTAACACGTTCAAACTTTGTTGTTATGATATGCAGGAGATTCTTTATCTGGAAAAAAAAAATGCTATGAAAATCCTGATTTGAAATCAACGCGGATCACTGAATCGAAATCGCAGTACATAGAAGATCGGACAATCGTATTAAACTCTCATCAGGAGATAGTTCACACAAAACAGTTTTCAACTAAACTAAATCAACCTCTGGGTAACACCACAATAACAACCTAAACCTAAATTATATTATTAAAAAATAAAACATAACACTAACATAATACAAGACAACAAGACTGCAGCAGCTAGCAAAGAGGTCAAAGCTACGTAGTTACACATCCTCCATGGAAATGCACACCCCTATCCATACATTACACACAGCAGTTTATCTTAACTCACTAACTTCAGTGTATTAATTTGAATATAAGATACATTACCTTGCCTTTTGACATTCTGGATACAGTTGATAGTTTGCGTAAGTTAATGTAGATTAAGGTTAAATGTGTTTGGAGTTAACGCAGTAGCGCGTTTGTGTGGCGTTGCTATGGTAACCCTAAAGAGGGAGTAGTCCGATCATCGGCGTACACAGGTTATTTTCAGAAGTTTAAGAGAAAACGTTTTAAAAATTGCTCAAACAGACCTTAACCAACTTTAAAACAAATAACCTTGCACAATGTTGTCTTAAAGTATTTAATGAACATAACGACAAAGATAAATTGTTTAAATGTTACAGTATAGTCATAAGCAAAATATAAGAGTATCATGGGAAAAACACGTTTCCTAAAAGCAGTTAAATATGGCGTCATTTACAACTCTAATATATCTTAGTAATATGGGTTAAAATAAAGACTTGGCAAAACACCTTTTTTTTTTTTTTTTTGGTATGAAATAACAAATTAATACTGTTAATTAAAACAAACACAAAACACATTTCTAGCTGGAATGTAGTTGCAGTTGCATCCTGAAATGAAGTACAGAATTTGCGAGGACAAGGAATACGAACACAAAAATCATTAATGTGAGTTCAAAGTACATTAAGCCTAATTTCAGTGTCTACCCGTGCACCACAATATTTGTATGGCTCACATTCATCTTCACATTGACCTAGAGTCTTGAAAGAGACTGTGATATTTCTGCAAGATGGACTTGGCATATTCTTGTGGACACTGAACCAGAGGAAGTCGAGGGGGACCAAGGCTCAAGCCAGACACCTCAGACATCAGCTGCTTGTTCACTCCTAAGTCAAATCCTGCAAGAGTGCAAATATTTTAACCACACATAGAAAACGAACCCTCAGTAACCCACAAACATCACCTACTGTTTTTCATGGCAAAACTTAGAAGTTCTTGCAACTTGAACTAAAAAGAAAGTATAAATAGCAATATTGGATTATTAAAAATATGAGTCAATCTGATTACAAATAATAATAATGATAATACTTGTATTGCCCGAGCTTGCAGTTGGTCACCATTTTCAAAAGCAGTTATCAGCTTGTTCGCATAACTTCCCATATAGTTGTAAGTGCTATGAGAAAAAGAAGGAAAGCATTCAGTTTAGGATAAGGAATCTTATCAGTACATTTATTAACACTAACCTGCCTACTGCACCATTTGCACCCATCACGAGACCAGCAAGTAATTGCTAAAATGCAAATTATGTTGGATCTTTTAATTCATTATGTTTGTAGTGATGGTAATCAAAATATAAAAACAATAAAACATAACATTAACATAAATTTTAAAAGATGCTGACCTCATCTACGCCATAGACCACAGACCAGTTTGGTTGACTGTTGCTCACACACTGACCAAAATCCAAAAGGTCATACCCACTAAACTTTACTCCTCTGAAGGATGGAATAAGATCCTCAATGTCATTCAGCACATCTCGTACAGGCACTGTTGGGAGCATCAACCATTATATATTAATGGTAGATATATGACAGTATATTATTCTTCAGCACATCTATGCAGAGTTGGCAAATGTAGACAAATACCATTCACGCCAGTTATGGCTGGCATATGATAGTAATAGAAGGGTAAGTTAGGAGCTGCTGAAGCCACCTCTCGCAGAAATGCTTTTATGTCATCTGAAATGCAGAGAACAATTGCTTGTGATGTTTTGTCAGTATAAAGTATAATGCATTAAACAAAAAAGGCAAAAGAAGAGCACTAGCAAACAGGGGATCAACCTGCAGTGCCAGGTTTGAAGAAGGATGGGGAAATGACAGCTATCCCATCTGCCCCGATTTGAGCCGCATGGCAGGCCTAGAGAAAATGTTTACAGACCAAAACGTAAACTAACATATGAACGCTATTCGCATGGAATTAGAAACACAAATGACATATGTAATTATTACAAATTTTCCAAGGTTTCTAAATAATATCATATGCAAATAGCTCATAGGGTTGATCATCAAAATGATGACTTTTTCTAGCAGTATAGATAACAAAACATAGTCTACTATATCAATTGTTACATAATATAGTGTATAATCAAATCAATAAAAAACAAAATATATTTATAAAAAAAATTACAAATAATTGACAGCAGAAAACTTGTTTTGGGAGCATTTAAAGATGAATTTGAAATAAATCATTCACCAACAACTTACTAAATCCTGAGAATCTTTGAGGCTCATGCAACCAACATGCACAAACACGTTATCCATTCTGTACAAATACAGAGGAAAAAAAAAATAAAATCAAATGATGGATTTTTTAAATCAATATAATACAGAATTATTGATTACATACTTTCCTTTGGCTTTACGGCACCAGTCCTCAGCCAGTGCCTTCCTTTCAGCCACACTTAAAGACACGCTCTCGCCAGTTGTACCATTCACTGTAAAGAGTTAGGAACATCTTTAAAATGCAAAGTCAGCATTATTTAGCACAGAAAGGACAGCCTTCATTAATAAGGACTTCAGTATCAGAAAAAGATCAAATCAAGAAAGAAATAGTTGTTTACTAGAGAAGAGTAATAGTTTAGGAGGGTGAGTTTATGCATTTAAACCTATTAATAGTTTATAATTTGAACTTGTTTGTTCATTATGAAAGCAGTGTCAAATTTATGATGACTCAGACAAAGGTTGAGACACAAAAATGCTGATGTGGAAGTGCTGAATAATTTGTTTTGAAATTATGAAATTTGAAATTGTTGAAAAATGTTAAAACACACTTCGTTTTTTTCTGAAAAGCATCAATTATAACCAATTCAATCACCAACTACATTATACTCACCAAATATACTTTTTACATTTTGCTTGTTGATCAAGTAGTCAATGTAGGGTTCAATCACAGACAGATTGATTTCACTGTTGGGAGAAGGATTATATTTACACGTTTAATAATACTCACTGAAGAACTTAAAACCTGAGTTTGTGCGATTTTAAGACAAGCAAACAGGTCAGCAACGCACTGTCTAGAGAACTGGTTTCAGATACATACCCTTCTGACGTTAATGGAGTAAATGTGGCTGCAACAATTCCTGACATTTTCGCATCCGCAGCAGGAGCCATTTCTCGCGCTGTATATTGTAGTGGGACAAAAACATAAAAATATAAACAAGACAAGAACAAAAACAACCAAATGTCATACTTAACCACCGTACAGTGCGCAACCAACAAACAGCCAAAATCTATACCAAACTGCTCATAAAACCGCGTACCTTTCTCTCTTTGCTTGGAAGAATGAGGAATAAGATGAAGCCAGAGTCTTTGGAACAACTCCGAACTTGTTGTTGACGTTATAAGCTCACATGCAAAAGGTTTGTCATGTGAACAGTGCCAAAAATCAAGTGACGACGCAAGGCTTCTTGGGAAATGTGGTCCAAAGGTTAAAGGCGAGACGGACGGGGGAAAAAATCATTCAAACATTCAACTGACTGAAAAAAAAAAAAAAAAAAAAAAAAAAAAAAAAAAAAATAAAAAAATATAATATATATATATATATATATATATATATATATATATATATATATATATATATATATATATATATATATATATATATATATATATATATATATATATATATATATATATATTAATTAGAGAAGACTAAGTAAAAACGTCAGACCCGTGTTTACAAATTTGTTGGGTGAAACGAAGAAATATATTCTTTCTATTTGTGGGGCTGAAATGGGCTGGATGAGCAAATAAATATTTATTCATATTTCTTAATTAAATACATATATATGATTTTTTGTGTGTTTGTGAGTGTGTGTGTGTGTGTGTGCGTGTTTTTTTAAATTATTTTTTACTATTTTTATCAAGACTTACTTCAGGAAACGGATGTTGTTGACGTATTGACCCAAAGTAGCATCCGGTTTTTCTGGACAGGCTAGCCAGAGATGCTTGAAATGCCGCTGTGTGATCGACTGAATTATCCTCATTTCAAATCGAGAAATTAAGCAAACTACCAGCCTACACCGCTTTCTAAAATGAACGTTTTTTGACAGCTTCTTTTGTTATTCGAGCCTCTTTGGCCTTCGGTAGCTTTAAGAGTTAGCACATCTGGCTAACTGGCTTATCAGCCTTTTTGCTACTGTCAAGTTTCTGCCTCCTGCTTGGCCGACAGCTGACAGAAACTCTGCTCTTGTGGAAATAATTAACTTAGCCTCTGTTTGGACCTTTACTCGCTGCTGGTGGCTGTTGGGAGGAGAATGTAGCTGTTAGATAGCTGGATTCATTGTGTGATTGTAAGATCCATAAACGCTTAAAAATAGATTCTTGGAATTTGTCGCGTATCACAGGGTTTTTATTTTATTTTTCCAGTCTGATACTTAATTTGCCAAAACGTCAACGTGTCTCAGCCTAATTTGTTGCAGATCCGGGTGACAAGATGGAAATGTAAACAGGTGTGACATGTATGCATAGCACAGCATAGGTTCTTTCATAACGGCGAAGAATAGTTTTTGTAGAACCTGATGGACTGGCTATTGCACATTGACGGAGGAACAGAAAATTGTTGTTTTCTTCACTGACCAAGTTGGGGTCTGGTTAGAGTAGTTGAATTGTAATGTCGGGGTTTCTAGGACCAAGGAAGACTGGCTGAAAATATTTTGCATCGAGCTGAAGTTAAGCCTTCCATTCATAATGCTATTCGTACTGTTGATACCAATGTTTCTTGGGGCATTGTGTATTCATGGGGAGGCAATAACAAGAGAGGAGAAACGCAAATTAAAGTAAGTATCAAACCATCTCAAAGCAGTTAATACATACCTGTATACAAAACCTGTTTATTTTCTTTATAAAAGGGACCAAGTGGTGGAGATGTTTGACCATGCATATCAAAATTATATGGTAAGCATTTACACAGATCTTCTCTTGACTTGTCCTGTGACATAACCCTGTTTTGTGTTTTTGATAAGTGATATCTTATTTACACTTCCTCAGGACCATGCATATCCGGCAGATGAACTGATGCCTTTAACATGCAGAGGCAGAGTGCGAGGTCTTGAGCCCAGCCGAGGTGACGTGGATGATGCTTTGGGCAAGTGCGTGAATTCACTTAATTCTGAATTCAAAATCAGAATTTCAGAAAAAAATAAATCCAAAGCATGCTTTAATATGAGTAATATTAAATAGTGCCAGAAATATAAAAAATACACTATACTCTCTTTACTAGGTTCTCTCTGACACTTATTGATACCCTGGATACTTTAGTGGTGAGTTACAACATTCTTTTTTATTGAAAGTTTTGCAGCTTAATGTGCTCTACCCTTAATCAATTGTGTTTTTGTTATTTAGCTAATTGATCTGATGAGATTTTTCATTTTTAGCTTTTAAACAAAACAACAGAGTTTGAGGCTGCAGTTAAAAGAGTCTTGTCTGATGTGAGGCTGGACAATGACATTGTGGTTTCAGTATTTGAAACTAACATTCGTGTTCTTGGGTAAGCTTTAATGATAATAATATAAAGATATAATAACAGATAAATAAATACTGTATTTGAGCAATGTTTTTTTTTCAGTAATGCAGGCTTGTAATTGGTGTCATGTATTTATGTTTTGTGAAGTGGTCTTCTGGGAGGGCACTCCATGGCTGTGATGCTGAAAGAGGAAGGACAGCTCATGCAGTGGTATCAGGATGAGCTTTTGCACATGGCCAAAGACGTCGGCCTCAGATTACTGCCAGCCTTCAACACCAGCAGTGGCCTGCCGTATCCTAGAGTGAGACATCCACTCAATACTACTGAATCCAGCTTCAAACATAACCAATAGTATTGTATCCATTTTGAAAGGATTCAAAGCAGAATTAATTAGCTTTTTTGCAGGTGAACCTAAAGTATGGCGTTAGAGGCCCTGAGACAAGAACAGGCACAGAAACGGACACCTGTACTGCATGTGCTGGTACCATGATTTTGGAGTTTGCCGCCTTAAGTCGTTTTACTGGAGATCCAGTGTTTGAGGTAACAAAACACGCTGATAACTATTTCCTTCACAGTGGCTTTGGAAACCTTATAATAAATATATCTTTCGTACAGATAGAGTTTTTCAGATATGTGAGATGAAAACTCTTTTGTGGCAAATATTAAACGGAAGACGCATTGTGTCATGTTTCAATATTATGTTTCAAAGCTGAAGGCAAAATATTCTTTCTTTCTTAGTAACCTCTGTTCTATGATATCTTTCACTTTATATCTAAACTATTAGGCCACTGAAACTCCCACACCTTGTTTCTTGTTTCTGTAAAATTTTCTCTTCAATCTACTTGTCCCATACATAGGCTCATGCACGGAAAGCCTTAGACTTTCTATGGGAAAAGAGGCAGAGAAACAGCAATCTTGTTGGAACTACAATCAACATCCACTCAGGGGAGTGGGTCCGTAGAGGTGGGTCCAGTAAAAAAATATTAATACAAGGCTTAGTAGAGTTAAAAAAAAAAAACAGCCAGGCCCCTATCCATAAAATCGATTGGCTTGAACCTGTTTATGTTGAGATGTTTACTGTGTGTTCGCAGACAGTGGAGTAGGAGCTGGAATTGACTCATACTATGAATACCTGCTTAAGGCTTACATCTTACTGGGAGATGACCAGTTCCTTCAACGCTTCAATATAGTGAGAGCTCACACAAACACACAGTGTATCCTGAACTGGATTACACAATGATTCAGACCTAATACTGCTGATCTTTTGCTTTGGCCATATAATTGTATTACATTTGGCATGACTACTTTTTCCCTTTCCAATTTCATTTAGCACTATGCATCCATAATGAAGTACATTAGTCAGCCTCCACTGCTGCTTGATGTCCACATCCACAAGCCTCTGCTCCCTGCTCGGACATGGATGGACTCTTTGCTTGCCTTCTTCCCTGGTCTTCAGGTTTATTTGAAATCTTTTTAAATTATGAACATTAATTACTCTCTAAAATATGGATATTTATTAATAATTTCTCTTTATGTAACGTTTATAACTATTCTATTCTTCAGGTGCTAAAGGGAGATATACGTCCCGCTATTGAGACACATGAGATGTTGTATCAAGTTACCAAAAAACACAACTTTTTGCCAGAGGTAAAAAAAAATAAAAAATCTCAACCCCTAGATGAAAAGTTTGTATGCAGTAACAAGTAATAAACACACAAATGAATCTTATTAATGTTTGTCTATCACCAGGCCTTCACAACTGATTTTAGGGTACACTGGGCACAGCATCCCTTGAGGCCAGAGTTTGCAGAGAGCACTTATTTCCTGTACAAGGTAATTTATCTGGGAACCTTGTCATAATAGATGGGTTAATGTAACGGAATACTGGTATGGCCCAGGCATTGTTTTTTCTTTTTTAAATTTAAAAACATGCATGTTTTCCATTAATCAGATTGTTGCACAAAAATAGAGCAACAGAATAGCTAAACATTCAAAATTACTTCAGGAGGATGATAATTGTTGTAATGGTATGGGGCGTGGGGACAAGTAAGTGTTTACTTCTCCCCTGATCTTTTTGGAATTTTTGAGCATATGCTATGGATTTAAAATCTAAAATATTTCGCCTACATGTGTATTGTTTGGTTATTGTTTAAACATTAACATAATTTATCAAACATCCAAAATTTGATTGGTTGAATATAATAAAAACTGTGAATGTGTGATGTATCTGCCAGACCCTATTTTTGGATAGCAGTCTTATCATTTATCATTTTTTGCAGGCCACAGGAGACCCGTATTACTTGGAGGCAGGTCGCACCATTCTGGACAACCTAAATAGATATGCTCGTGTACCCTGTGGATTTGCTGCGATGAAGGACGTACGCACCGGTAGTCATGAGGACAGGTCAGAAAAAATCATTTTATGGAATAACATCTTGATGGGATGTGCTCAACCCATTGCAGTTCATTTTTTAATAAACCTTTATCCAACTTTTCTCCAGAATGGACTCATTCTTCCTTGCTGAAATGTTTAAATATCTGTTCCTGCTTTTTGCTGATGCGGAAGATGTACCGTTCGATGTGGAGGACTACATTTTTACTACAGAGGCTCACTTTCTTCCTTTGTCCCTTTCCACTGCTCGCCAATCTTCATCCATAACTCTGAATATAACAGTAAGGACAAGTGCATTTGATATAGGCTGAGAAATATAAAAAATATGAGTTATATTATTATTGATTTTAGTCTGAAGAAGAATTGGATGACTCCAACTTTGACTGGACTTGTCCCAACACCCGGCTACTGTTTCCTGATCCTGCTTTCCCTCGAAATATCAGAGAACCTATCCGCAGTGTAGTGGACAAGAGCTGCCCTCGGCCTGCTCCATACAGGTTTGTGAATCCAAAATGATAATAATTGTTAACAATAATAATTTTTTCCTGTGACTGTTTCTAAATAATTTGTTTTCACTATGCAGAGAGCCTGGTATAGGCCGTCCTCCGCTGAGAGCTCAGGATTTTATGGCAAATAACCCTGAACATCTGGAGCTACTCAGAAGAATGGGCGTCAGTCTTATCCACCTGAAGGATGGACGAGTACAGTTGGTTCAACATGCTACACAAGTAAGTAATGGCCAAAATAGATATTAGTCTTTACAGAACACATGGAAGAAGGTTATATTTGTATCAATAAAAATGTTTTTTGTTTCATGTCCAGGCTGTGAGTGCAGTGGCAGCAGAGGACGGAGTACGGTTTATGCAGGAGATGATGGAGTTGTCCAGTCAGCAGCAGAAAGAACAGCTTCCCCCCAGAGCCATTCAGATTGTCTCACATCCGTTCTTTGGCAGGGTAGTGCTGACAGCAGGCCCTGCACAATTTGGCACAGACCTGTCCAAGAGTGTCACTGGGGTAAATTTAAAGTTGTCCAGTTTTGAATTATTCCATTTCAGTTTCATATTTTACCTATTATAGAAACGTGCATTCTTTGTGTTAATCATTCTGCTCATTTGGTGTCCCGTTCAGGTAAGAGGTTTTGTGACTGTAGCTGAACCGTACAGTGGCTGCAGTGAGATTACCAATGCTGAGTATATCCAGGGCCACATTGCACTGCTCCAGAGGGGCCAGTGCATGTTTGCAGAGAAAGCCCGGCATATTCAGAAGGCTGGTGCCATCGGGGGTATTGTAATTGGTGAGGATTTTACCATTGAGCATAAAGCTGTACACATTATTATCCAACCCATACATATAATTCGCAATGTATTAGTCACAACCAAAAATACAATTAAGTCATGCTATCATTTCCTTAAAAAGTGTGTGATTGAAAATGCCATTGTTTCTCCTTACACAGATGACAACGAAGGCAGTAGCAGTGACACGGCTCCCCTCTTCCAAATGGCTGGAGATGGACGCAGCACTGATGACATCACTTTACCTCTTCTGTTCCTCTTCCACAAAGAGGGCAACATACTGTTGGAGGCACTGAAGGAGTACCGAGAGGTGGAGGTGCTTCTGAGTGACAAAGCTCGGGACAGAGGTATGACTTTGGTCTGATCAATAACAGTATTTGATTTTTTAATAATGCTCGAGGCTGGCTGAGGGCAAATGATTCTGAATTTAGAAAATCTAAATTAAAAGTAGAAATTTGTCTCTGTAGCTACTGCAGCATTACTATATCTGTCTTTCTGCTTTTGACTCAAGCCCCTTGTGCTCACTGTAATCATGGCTTGTCTTTTTCTTTCTGTTGTGTTTCTCTCTTTTTAAACAATCCTTTAAACTTTGGATCAACAGCAACTATATTTAAAGGTAAACCCCTTCCTGGCAGCTTGATTGAAGACAGTAAGTTATTTTAATTTAACTGGAATCAATGTATTTATTTACGTAACAATAATAATTGTCCTCAATCGAAATGAGTTGATTTTAGTATTTCATTATCCATTTCTGTAAGACGTTTTCATCTGAGCAACATGACTCACCATCCACATTCTGCTGTGTTATGGTCAACAACCAATCTATAAAAACTGTGCTATTTCTGGATGAAAATCGCTAACATAGAGTTGCAGAGGACTGACTGAGGAGGAGTATGCATGTGTGTCTGTGTATACAGTCTAACTTGTCTCCTTTTCAGGTGTGGATACACAAGAAACACAAGAGGACTGTGTAACTGATGCAACAACTGCAACCTCCTTTGAGCCTCTGGGCCTATCAGACTTAACCACGACAGAGCGAGCTGAACCTGCTCCTCAAGTTGTGACGTCACCGGAGGAAGTTGATGGGGCAAATGAAGGAACCAGCCCTGCCCAGGATGTTGACCTTTCTGAAGACTTGACTCCTAAAGAGTCTCATTCAGCTGAGGCAAAAGAGGAGGTAGATTCTGAGCCAAAAGAGGAGGCCAAGGACCGGACAGAAAACAGGCGCTCTGTGGAGTCGCTGCTTGCTGACTGGCAGGAGGACTTGGAAGCATTCCAGCAGATGGAGAGGGATGAACTCTGATGTCACATGTGACATGTTGAGCCCTGAGACTGTGGTGGGAGCAGAGAGGGGCAAATATCCGCGTGACCAGCCTTAACTAACTAGTCACTGAAAACAAGGGTAATTTTTAACATAGTTGTCTATGTTAAAAGCTGCGTTATGCATTTTACACTGTAGATGGCATTATGTGCCAAGGCAGCCCACATATTGTATTTCTGGACCACAAGGGAGTTGGTTGCCTGGTTCATGGTGATTCACAGGCTTCTTACCTCATAAACCTCATAAATAGTTTTTTTTTTTTTTTTCCATCAGTCACATATATTGGACCCAGACTGTACTGTATGTGACTTGCCACTTCCCATGTGTCTCACAGTGCAATTGATATTTTAACTCTTTGCTTTTTGAATGCTTGTTCTAACTTGTTTTACTAAATAAGTCTCTCCATTTGATTTTATTTAAATGTGATCATAACTGTGAAACTGTTGCATTCTCAACTAATTACTTTATGGATAAATACAGAAGTAATGAAGAGATATGAAGAACCTGTTGCTGTAATATAGATCTAAAATTAAAACATTTTAATATAGTACTGCTTTGCTCAGGTTCCATCGAACAGGAATGATTATCCCGCAACCGATAAACCAAACCACGAACTGTTCCCGCACTGCACTTTCATGAGCTGCACATACCGAGGCTGCCATGTGAGGGCGCTATATGATCTGTTGATTTGTCTGTCATGCTGATTATTTTTAATGGGAGGGGGAAAATTGCTGTAAGCAATAAAAAAGAAAACCAAACAAAAATGTTCAGTTACTTTTAGACATAAAATACATAAGGACGGTTGGCCTGGAAAATTTGGTGTTCAAGCAAACGTAATAGCTAATTTCACATTTCTTGTAGTTTTTATTTCAATAGAATATGGCACAGATATAAAAATTTAAAAACACGTTGGTTTTATGACATTCAGTTGGTTAATTAATCAAATAGCTGAACATAATCTTGACTTTAGAACCATCTTGTTTTGTTTAATTTTGTGTGAAAAATTTGTAAGGCAAAGATAAACTACCCTTCTACGAGCAAAATTCTCTGGGTTCAGACCATGGTTCAGACCACTGATTGGTGAGTCGGCAGGGCAGTCCTCAGTAAGATGGCTGCATTGCTGCGCGCATTGGTGCCATCCTGGTGAAATGACGCAAGCTCCAGTTTACGCGCAGAGCTCGAGGCTCCTGCTCCGGTCTCCATAGCGCAGCGCAGAGCACATCCCGCCCGACTCAGAGCCGGAAGAGCGGCGGCTATCCTCCTGTGGACCGAGCGGAACCGGTTCGACACAGTAAGTACAGACGTGTAGCCTTGTTAATGGACTCCCGGAGGTGTCATTTACGCTTTAAAGACACGCGCCGCGTCTCTCGTGGTTTCTTTTTCTCTTTACTCGTCTCTTTTGTTGTTGTTTCCTGAGTCCACCGTGATTAGCCGGGCGCTTTCCTTCCTGCACACGGGCTTTACATCTATCGATATTTGGTACGATTTCTATTGACATGCTTGTTCCAGCTGCTTCTTTTGTATGGCTGTTTGCTTGTTCAGTATAGTGTGTTCAACTCATGAGGTTTAGTTTTCCTTGCTTGATGTGTTCTTTTCGCTTACCCCTGAACAGGATTGGCTTTTTCAAATTTTCCACACATCCTGGTTGGCGGTGCCAGCCAGTCCCGCTGCTCCTCCAGACTGCTGCTGGTCTAGGCCCTTTGCTCTTGGAAACACTAAATAGAAGAGGGCCAGGGGCTCGTGCTCTCCCAAGGCTAAAGACGGTTAATCTTTGTGGAAATGAAACTATGTGTACACAGTCGATTTCCCCTTAAAACTGCCTCTCATATGAAAACAAAGCTCCCTGTGTCCATGTAGCGCAGCTGGACACAGCTGTTGATCCAGTCCCAGCCCTAGTGACCCCAGACCGCTCTGGTAGAAGGACTACTGCTGCCCTGCCTACAGCTGGTCCGGTCCACATCTCTATGACCATGGTCAGCACACTGCAGGCTCTTTCCCACTTGGACATTGCCAAGCTCTAAAGGTTGCTCATTTGACTTGCTGCCTCTGGAGCAAGACCACTACTGCAATTATGCTATTACTGTTCTATATAAAATCATAAGCAGTTTAAGTTTGGCCTGCAGCTGTAATGTTGACATTGTTATTTTCTTACATCAAGTGAGACTGAATAAGTTGCCAGCTCTGGCTGTGTGGAAACATGCCATATGGCTTTTAGCAGCTGTGATCTCCACCACATCACTGCATCCATTTGGTTCTCGTGCCAGCCCCCTGGTGTGAATGTAGGTTGGTCTGGTTATGGTCTTGCAGCATCACATCCCTGCCAGCTTAATACAGGCCAATGTAGGTTATACATGTACTAGCAATCCCCCTCACTGCTTTATTCTCCCATCAGTCATTCTCCATCTGCCCCCTCTTTCACCCACCCACTACGAGTTCTTACGAGCCGGTGCTTACATTGCCTTTGATTCTGGCTAGCACATAGCAGCCAAGGTGCACGGCATTGCTCCTCGTTTCTCTTCATCTGTGTCACTTTCCAAGCCAGGAAGGTCTATTCTTAGCCTCGTCCTTCTTCCTGTCTCAATCATCATGACTGTCTCTGCCCTGTATGTCCACCTGTGGCCTCTTTAGTAGGTTTAGTGTCTATCAGGTGCTGATGGTTTAGCCTGTAAGGCAACAACTCGGAAACCCCTCTCCACAGTAAGTGACACCCATAGTGACCAGGATGCCCTTGTCTGCTTGTGTGGGTGTAGGAGGGACATCCCATGATTTTTGCCTTGTGTTTCAGTAAAGTTTATTTTTAACAAATACAAGAAACACTGAAACTGTAACGTATTCTCCTTTTTTATTAAAAACACTTGCCAAGTCAGATGAAGGTTAAACAGCACAGGTAAATGAATGGCTACCATTTACAGAATTTCTCATAGATTTTTTTAAGCTTATGGTGGCACAAATAATTTTATTTGAATAATAGAAATATAAATTTCACTTTCTGCCTGTATTTAATCTTTCACCAGTCATTTTTGACCAGTGTACTCTTTTATAAGTTTATCATAATACAATGAGCAGTGCCAGTATAATCCAGGTTGTGTCTAAACTCTGGGGGAGAACTTTAAACTATGTGGGCCCAATACAGTCTCTTGTATTGATGGGAAACGCTACATTTGACAGGCTTTTTGTAAATGGGCGCCATTTAACTTTTCTGCTGGACATCTACACTTGCTCGCGGACCCTATGCCAGAAAAGTTACATAGTGCAGCTTTAATTTTGTTTTGCATCTGCATTGCCGTTGACATCAGCAGATGTGGTTTCTTCTGACAGATTCTTCAGTCAGCAGAGGTCAGCAGTGCAGTCTCCGCCTCAGTGCTTTCTGTTTGTCCTCAGGTTGTGTTTCAGTGACAGTGACGGGCACATCTATAGTATGTATCTGTAGTATGATTACAGTGCACAGTGTTTATAGATGTGCTGTTAGAATATGGGCAGAGATACAACAGCTCACATCAACACCAATCATGTCATTTATTTATTTTAATGATCAATGCATTGAATTAGTTGTTGCAATCCTAGATATTTGCAAGTTTCCATGTCTAATAGTTTGAACTAATTAAAGCCTCTTCTCCATCCCATTTTCATGCTCTGTGAAATGATATAAAACAAAACAAAAAATATATACAGCCCATAGAGTAGTCACAAAAGAAGATTCAGTGTTCAGACGTTTTAATAGTTTCCTGCACAAGCTGTTTGTCTCTGCAAGTGAACAGTCTCTGATAGATTCTCTGCAGGCTCTTTACTTCATAAAATTTCAGATTGTTGTGGAAATGGAATTAAAATTTTAATACACGTTATACTAATTTAATATGAGGTGAATGTGAATAGAAATGAATAAGTGCAGGTGCAGAAAAGCAGTATTTCCTCTGCTGTAATTCAATTTCATGTTTTCGCTGCTTTTAGCCTTATGGGTATTATGTTGTTATTGGTGAACTACTTTACTAAAGTCTCTTTTCTACATTTTACACAGTCTGTAACTCAACTTGAACACTGGTTCCTGGTCTGTATATAGGCTGTATAAGTGTCAGTCCAGGAGTAGGAGTCAAAGTTCATTGGTGATTATTTTTAACTGCAAATATACATTTGAACTTTAGACACTGCATTCACTAAAATCAGTAAACAATAACCATGCATTCTTATGAACTGACTTTTGCAGAAACACAACTTTTTTTGTCTGTCATGGTTTATTTAATGTTTTCTTTATAATTCAGACAGTTCAATATGACAAGTGTGAATCCATGTGAATGCTGATCAGCACATTATTTTCATTAGCCAATATTCAACTGCAAATGCCAATGTTCAATACAGAAATAAGATGCACTGCCCCATTGTCAGTTTTGTGTGCACTCTCCCGTTAATCTGCCTGGAAGTAAACTTGTCCTCCAAGACTATAACTTTTAAGGCTGTATAGACAGTCTTCACACTTACTTTTGGTCTGTGTGAGAATCATGCATTTGTCCATTTCTACCAAGTGTCATAGAAAACAATGTTGTGCTGTTGGCACTAATAAGTTTTACATGACACATATTTGACACAGTGCATGACCCGTGTTGATTGCTGTTGTTTAGAATGAGATGGAGGATGGTAAAAGTAGCTGTTGTGTTCTTGCTAGCATTGCGGCCAAGTCAACTGATTTTAGAGGGCTGCATATGTTGATAGGACAAAAACAATATTAAGTCAATTAGGATAATTTTGAAGATGCCACAAAAAGGCTGCAATTCATCCGTCTGTTATGACAAAATTGGTATTATCTTGACTGATATTCCAACAACAACTGTGCAGCCCTCTTTTATCATTGATCATAATAGTTTTGAATAATCATTAATTTAACTGAAGTTGAATCACCATTCTTTATTATTTATATTTGAGTTAATTGTTTTGCACCTGAAAGCGGCTCATGTGCTGCCAGGGAATGAAAGGCCATACATGTCTCACAGGAAGCAGTGCTGTTGTTCAGCATCATTCTGGCCAATTACAGATAAGTGCTATTTATTCTCATCAGATGTGTTAATATCTAATGAATATTAATGCTGAGTTATTTTCATTTTGCCAGTTGTGGGTTGCTCTGTTAACAATTCAGATTTATCTGGATGAAAAACCATAAACATGCGTGACCTTGCTTGTGTGGTGGTTGTTGTTGTTTGGGAGCTCACTCTATCTGCCATGTGCAGCCTCCTGCCAGTAATTGCAATGAGCTAGCACTTTATATGCAGCACAAGCAAACTGAATTTGAATATTCAATGATGCTATTACAATGAATATCATGGTTGCTTTCAAGAGCGACAAGTGCTCAAAAAAAATAAAAAAAAAATAAAAAATGAAATCATGGATAAACCTGATCTATATTTTTAGCCTCCATCTACAAGACCATAGTGT